GTGTTTCTTCCATATGCATCATTAAATTAAAGGTGTTTCTTCCATATCCATACAATCCATCTGTTCTGCCATTCGGTGTAAATCTTTTCCACGATTATTTTAATCTTATTCTGATCTGTTACAAGATCCTCCTGATCAGGAATATCGTAAGTAAGGTTTCCTCCCGCTCAATCGTGAAAACATCCATGAATTCGATAGTGATACCGAGAAAATTCTGCAGTAACGTTGCCCCCCTTTCTTCATTCATGAGCTTCCGCCATTGCTTCTCTTCCGCTTCTACAACAGCACTTTTAGCGCGTGGGAAATTTAACCTTCGCTCTCGCGTCCGAAATCTCGCGTATCGATGGCAATGAATCTGAGTGTGAATCAACCTGAACTTCCACCGATTCCCAAGGAACTTCCACGCCAGCGGACAATAACGAAACGACGAAGATAATGTCTTGAATCATCTGCAGCGCATCGATGCAAGCCTTATCGCGATCGAATTCTAAGGCTGCTGTTTCCAGGAATCGGCAAGCTTTGAAAATGAAATCGGTAATCCGGGCAATATAGGACCGGCTGGGATAATCTGAGATAGCGGAGGGAGATTAGCGCGCCACGCCGCAAAGGTTATCTCATTCACGCAGGATTATCAGAAATAAATCATATTTTCCTATAAAGCGAGCACAGTACGCGGTCGAGATAAGATGACCGCGCGGTTAGGTATACAACATCGATACCGGTCGTGTGTACACATTGCAGGTAATGCGTGTTTGTTGTCGTTGAGCATCAACGATATCGCCGTTTGTCCGCGCGACGCTTATCCTGTGTGTCTCTTTCGCAGCTATCGTTCGGTCGTAAATCTATAAACGGTAAATCCTATAGCGTGATTTCCAGAGGAAAATCGTCGACAATTTGCCAAGGGGTCCACCTGCGAGGCAACGCGAGGAGAATCCTGTTTACGTGTATAGGTGGCTGATTCTTGAATCTGTGAGTGTGAATCTTCGTTAACATTTGCTTTAAAAATTTACACCGACGCCGATGATACACAAAATCGGCTGATAAGTCTAACCAGAGAATACATCCGTGGGTAAAAATTAATTTAAAACGATAAATCGATGATGGTTGTTTAGGGACACTCTTCTTTATTTGCGGGTGACAGTTGAATACTATTTTTAGGAAACCTTGTTCAAAAATGATGTCTCGGCCCTTTATCCAAGAATGTGTTCATTGACAATGTCTGTGTTACATTGCTATTTTTTTATTATAACTGTTATTTATTTGTAGACACTCGAAGAAGATTCATAGTCGTTCCAATAAAGTAGTGATATAGCACTACTTCGAAATGAAAGGCTACATTTATAATTTTTGTGGAAACAAAAGGAGTTGCTGTAATAAACTAATGAGAAACAATATTTGTGATATTTCAATCTCTGCAATCATTTTTACTACGTATAGATAAAGAAGAAATGGCTACCATCTTTGAACAATCGTATGTTTATTTATCAAGGAGAAATCACAATTGATATATATACATTTCAAGAATTCAATATTTGCATGGCAATAACGAATTGCGAAGCAGAAAATCTATGAAAAAGTTCACCATCGATAAGTTAAGATAGTAGAATTTTTATATCACTAGTGATCGGTAAATTTCAAAAGTAGATAATTTTAGCTAAACTGAAGTGCAAATTAAATGTTACAGAAACAATGATAAGGTTTTGACATTTCGATTTTGGCAAGGGCTCTTTCGAAAAACATTCATCCAGCATCTTACAAGGTATCTTAATTCTCTGTAATTATTTGTGACTCTAAAGCATAGTTGAGCAGTGATTACTTTGCAAGTCCTATTATAGTCATCACTCGCAATTGTGAAACTAAAAGCTACATTGCTGGTCTGCAACTATAAATTACTAATTCGTAATCTTCTAAAGCTAATCGTGTCGGATTAAAGATTAATCATTATTACTGGCTATTCAATAATAATTGATAACGTTTAACCCATCGCTGTTCCGAAGTCAACCATATATCTATATTTTCGAAGTGTGATTTCATCATTTTATCACCGTGCCTCGCTGTGATTTTAAAGCATTAGTATGTTCATGAAGCACTCTGTATATCTGGTTAATAATTACAATCTCATACCAAGAGACGTATACTGTTACAAGGTTGATTTTAAAATTCACATCATAATTCGTATCTCGATTTTCATTGTTTATTAACATCTTGTTATACACATTTTTCAGGAACGAAAACTCATTTGAGTTATGAAGGACGAAAACAATTTTTCTCGAGCGACAAGAAGATGGCTCTAGCCGACTAAGAGGAATCGACCCATCGACGTACATTAAAATTGAAAATGTAGATTAGAATCTGACTAGAAAATAACTAAATACTCGTTTAATACTTTCTGTATTGTTAAACTGGACGATAGAGATTTTACAATAGATACTTTAAGCAAAATACAATGATATTAAGGCAGATACAGGATGAGCAATGATTGGTGATCAAAACTTTCAGTTTATATAGTAGTCTTGAAAAATAGCTAAATAGTGTTAGTGAACACAGATTTAGGAATCTAGTCACCGAGTTATGAAGAATAATTTGATTTAACTACAATAAGAGCACAAAGTAGCTTCTGAACATTTAAACACAAGTCTGGAAATATTTTTCACTGATATGTGTACATATTCAAGTAGTTCGTGTTCAGATATTTTGAGAAGTGTACATAGGATTTTTGTATCCTTTTTTATCACAGAAAATAATATTTACTTATAGTATTTGTGGAGGGCTAGTTTGTACTAATTTTTGATTGTTCTCATTTCTAGCTTTGATTAATGTGATACATCTATATAAAAATATAAACTTAACATTAATAATATCTATTATTCATTACAAAAATCTAGGACAGGTAACTTTGTATCTGTAATTATATATTGTTTCTTTCATTATCCTTACCTTCTTACTTTCTATTTCTATATGTAGATTCAAGTATAAAATACCCTTGTTAAATTTTTCCTGAATACTCGAAAACTGTGACTTTCACATCCATGCTTATTAACGCTTATTCGCATATCATGACAAGTACTCCGAATACCCAATATTTAAATCATCGATATCAGCACACCTCGCTCAAAGATCCTTAGCCACGGCACGATCAAATACAATGACATGCCTATCAATCTACACAATTCCAATACGATCTATTATTACGAAGGATGTCAGCAAAATTACCTTGAGAGTCGTCGAATCGAAGCGTCTCGACCTTCATCGCCCCGTATCCACCCCTTAGTAGCCAAGCCTCAAAACAAGACACTAAGTACACCGCCCCAAGGAACCCTCTCCTGCTCATCACCTGGCAATTACCGCTTAAACCGCTTAGGCCGATTCAGGTCGACACACTGGTGGGTTGATATTATTGCGTTAGCTATTAGCCCGATTAGCAGTATTGGTATAGGCAGCCATCTAATGCTGCTCATCCCCTCTCACCTGTTGAACGACCGTTGTTGCGCGCCCTTTACGCACCTGCACGCACGGAAACACGCGCACAGACGTTCGTTGTAACGTGTGCGTGCGAAGATTGACGCGCTCGCCACGCAGAGCCAATGGTGGCTCGTGTTCGAGGACCGATTGGTGCACGGAGCGGAGGAAACTGACAGGCGTGGACGCACACGCGTGTGGACACGCGGAGAACTCAGGTATCGGACGCGAATTCGAGGGCGTGAACGGTGCAGGCACGGTGCAGGGATAATAGGCAGGTAATAGATAGCATGATGACAGGCGACAACGGGATGAATGTCATGGGGTGACGCAAGGGATGCAGAAACGATCGGAGAGCCGAGCACGGGTTCGATGCGGTCGAGGGAAATGTAATTTTGCGGCCCAAACGCGCTGGGTTTGATTGTCGAGCATGGTGGATACATTTTTCTCATTAATTTTGGAAGAGCTACCCTCGATCGATGATTACAACGGTCTAATTTGGATTTGCGTTTAGAATTGATTGCAGTCTGCGCCCTGTGATCCTGTGGTCGTTTGTGCCGACGTGTTTTGGAACACTGGAGTTTGATGTCTAGCTAGACTTGGGCTAAACTTTCATCTGAATGCAACGATTTCTATTTTCATTTCCATGATAAAAATTCCAACCGAATTGTATTTCGCGCTAAAAGTATAACAGCTTACCTCGGTAGGTAACTGTTCAAACCGATACACCGTTGTATAAGGCATTCTGATAAGATTCTTGGCCATGTCTGAGCGTGACTCGAGTTTGACAGCTTCGAACGATGACGCAACCATTCGAAACCAATGGATTGCTTTCATCGGGCAAGATTTGCGATTGATCGGAATTCTTACCTTCAGCCTCGACGGGAATCTGCTGGCTCTCCTGGAGATGCTCGTTATTATTCGCTTCCGGCGACAACGCCTGCTGATGCACCAACGAAGACGCGGTCTGCTTCGGTTTGACAACGCGAAAAGCGGACGCCTCGGCGACACCTCTTCGCGAAAAGTCCAAAGGACCCACCCCGACCGGCGAGTGTTGCTGCTGCACTTCCATCATCGTGCTCGGGACAGTTCGATCACTTTGCTTCAAGACAATCCTCCCCCCACTGTACACGACATTCGCTCCCTGCGCGACAAGCTACACCACCGCAGTGTCAGTAAACCATTCCACGTATTTTTTTTTTTTTTTTTCAGCAACGAAACAATAATACACGTCTATCTGAAGTCCAATTGTCACTGACACTTCCTCTTCGGGATTCCGCGACGAAGATCCTCGTTCCTTGCCATGAAGACCGACCCGTCACTCAGTCCAATCCGTCGAGCATAAATCTCTGAGGCAACTGGTTCGAATCACCGAAGGATTCGCGAGTCCTAGCGCTGATACTCTCGATTCGATCGACGTCGGAGACACGAGCTCGCAGAGTGTTCGCTGATAAAGAGGTCCTCGCAGCGCGTGAAACTGGCTTCCGGGTGTCGTGGACACTGATTTCCGGGCGGCCCATCGGCCGAACAGGTCAGGAACGGTCGAGGCACCGTCACCCGGGGATGTAAGAGACGTTATAGCGGATGCCTCGACGCCGACTGCTGTTAACGGTGTCTGATAGCGGAGGAACTCCCATGCGATGACGGCCGAAAGTCGCGAGTTAGACTGAGAGAAAGAGAGGGGAGAGAACGCACACGAGCCCCGAGCGTTCCAGTGGAGAGCGAGAAAGAGAGAGGAGAGACAAACCGCCGAACAGGAACACCCACACAGACGCTGGATGCACGCTGGGATTTTCGATGGAGTCTCCGCCTCCATGGCACGCCTCCTTCGTCCCTACTCCACCCCCACGAAACCACTCTCCATGAGCACCGATGCCGCACACCGAGCCACGCTTTGGATACCGCGACAGCCACACAGTCCAACGCTCGACTCCCCGGAGCTGACGCTGCCTCTGCCGCACGCTACCCGACCACCGACGCATACACTCCGCGACAAAATGATAGAACACCCCCTGGATTTTCGGTATTTCTTGAAACTGTCGCGGCATACACGGATTGTTTTCTCTAATCCTGGACGGAAGTTGGTCCTTTCCTAGCAGAGATGAATTAAATTCTACTTGAGACACCTTCGCTTTGGATGACGTAGATACGCGTCACTGAGATTTTTATATTTCTTAAAGATCATTTTATTAACCGATTTCGAAAACGAAGAGGTTACTCAATTCGACATGTATATTATTTTTTTTTTTATATCATCAATATATTTAATTATATAGCTCAGTGCACCATAATTGATGTTATTTCGACTAAAAACAAAACTCTATACATTATTAATTTATTGTTTTATCTTATCATCTAGCAACACTAAAAATATGTGTAGGTTAGAGTGAGAAAGTAAAATTTTGACGCCTGAGTTCTTTTTTTAATTATTTTGTTTAAGATCGGATCAACTGCAAAGATATATTTATCGATATCTGTCCACGTGCGGGAAATTGCAAAATAGTTGTTGCACACAGATCGTAAGCCATACTATTACTTTAAGACCACAATTGATAATAAGATTAAATCACAGATCAAAAATATAGATAATGGGTGGCAATAGAAGATTAACATCAAACGTTGTCTCTCCTGTTTTCCAACGACCCTCTTTGTCTTCATCTCCTTATGTATTACTAATTCATTACTGACAATTTAAGTGAATTGTTAAACAGATCAGGCATTATTCTAATTGAACTAGAAACATGATTTTATTTTATGACTTCATTTTTAATTCATCTGACGATGTATAAAAAGTTGAGTATCTTTTGTTCGTTTTCCTTATCTCTGATCCTTTGAGATAAAAAGGGAGGCCTTACATTTTTTTCCAAGAATCTTACCTATTCATATGAAAAACAGATGTAAGAAGATGATAGGGTAGAAGTAACCTTTGAGGTGAAGGGAAGAGGGGAGTTAAAAGATGAAAACTCTTGACTTTTGTGTGTAATTCACTAAGCGAAAAGGTTTTTCGGAATAAGGAGAAAGATCGCTAATTTCGCTCTAACTTTCATCCCTTCATTTAGGACACTTAGAGATTAAGAGTCCAAAGATAGAGTTCTAATAATGTCTAAATCATTTATCATCCTGTAACAATTACAATGATGTATACTACCAATAACTGGATACTTGATGTTCAACCCCTTTACGCCCGAATTGATTTTTAGATTCGTTCAGTAATCGAAGTTTTACTGTATTTATCCTCATTTTATCCCATTCTGTATATTAAGTGTAAACATTTATTAATTCTTAATATTTGAACTTTTAAGGAAATCCTAAAATATGTATAAAGCAAAACGTCAGCATTTCCATTCAATCTATACTATTATAAACTCTTAGAAATCTAACGAATAAGTATTCCTCTAGGTATACATCAATAGAGCAACGAAACTATATTTCACTTTTGTTTAAAGTAGCTAATCCTCGTTATATACAGGGTACTTTTTTAACGCTAAACACTTTTAGGTTTACTAATTCTGTGAAGTAAAAATAATATGGGGACTTACAATTTTGTCGCAGAGTGTACTGGCTCGGTTCCGTGCATGAGTGGAATGCACGTAGCCGACGGACGTGTTTATTCGTTTTCCAGGGGGTAGGTGTGGGTGCAGGAGGGTAGCGTGGCCCCGTCCGCGTGTCGTAACTGCACAGCCACCAGCGAATGGACACGAGACACGGGGTGTGCAACGCTCTCTCACCTCCGGTTGCAGCATTATGTGGAACCACTCGGCCACCCTGATTCCACTCTTGACTCCACTGATTGATATTTGTGCGCGCCGCTCCTATACGAGGAAATAAATGTAGATGGCTGACTCTGCGCTCCGTTCCGGTACGTTAGGAGTACACCCAGCATTTACGCGAAACCCTTTGCAACAGATAGCTCCAACAGAAGACGAACGCCGCAGGTCGCAAGGAATTTGTTGGGATGGTTGTTTGGGCGATTAGAATAGCGGAAAGGGATCGTACAAAGGGACGAACGATTACGTATACTGAAGAGTATTAACTATAAATGATGGACATTGAAAATCTATGATTCAATTTTACTGAAAATAAAGCTGTGATCACATGTCTCCCCAGAATTGAAGAATTGAGGGGTGTGCTGCAATAAGGAGGCAGCTCCATTTTTTATGGTTTTGAGATTGGAATATAATCACGGTTTTAAAAAAATCCTTTTCTTCGAGACGCAATAAGGAAACAGCTCCGGTCATTAGGAAACTGATGATGTCGATTTGACGGAGATAGAGCAGGAAGACGAACGAATTTTGCACTAATTTTACGATTTTTTGTATCCTGCATAGTTTTTTTTGTATTGCCAATTGTTTTAAGAATCAAGTAAACATGTGTTTGAAAGAAAATTTTATTCTCTTGCCTCGACAACGGGGCAGGTCCAAACATTAATCCTCCCTCCACCACTCAGAAAAGAAAGGATGAAATCCAGAACGACATAATTTCATGATTAGCATAGCTACCTGTGCTATGATATGAAAAAGAAAAAGAAAGAAAATTTCAAAAATCTGAATTTTAAAATGTTTTGTTTTAATTTCCCAAGAATTTTAAAAAATGGAACTGCCTCCTTATTGATGCACACCCCTCAATTGTATTAAATGAGATCGCCAAAAAAGCTGACTAAGGGCATTCGACAAATATGTATGAATCTTCAAGGACGTCCAACGAAATTGCAATTTGATTTCTCAGTAATCATTAAATCCAAGCATTGTGCATTCCTACAATCTTTCGAACGTTTTATCTACCAGATAATCTACAAATTCCAATGAAACTGCAACCGGGATTTCATGACCGATAAGGAAAACAGCTCCATAAATTTCAGTTATTGTTTTTGTCCGGAACGTTCGCGTAGCGGCATAGAATTTTTATACGAGTCGTATATCATCGGTGCTTAAGTGCATCGAGGTATGAGCGAGGGGCATATTGCGCCAAGCTGCGTCTGTGCCGTTGCATCGATCACGCTGCATTAATTCGTCGCGTTTCTTTTCTTTTTCGGCGGGTATTCCTTCAACGAAAGAAAAGGAGACGCAAAGCAAGATTATCGATGATTCGAGGATTTCGAACATTCAAAGAATGCATCGATTTTCTTAGGAAAAGGACTTTGAGCGAGTTGCGCAGTTCGTGACATCGGTCTTTATTCGTGACGCTGTTTGTAGCGATAATTGCGCAACCTAACCGCGAGATTTTCGTCGAAAATCGGCCCGGACCTGTGATGACATCGATTTGAGCGATAGTCGTCGACGCGATGATCACTCGCAGCTTAAACGATTAACGACGGTGGCGATTCATTGCATTCTTGGTACAGATTATCGTTGCTGTAGAATTTTCCACTTAGAATGGTTTTCTTGCTCTACCAACACGCGATTTCAAGTTCAATGGCAAACACTTCCACGGCATTTTATTTTTAAGGGGCAATCTGGTTTAGGAATCAAATTTAGGTTTTCCTGGAGCAGGGGAGATCGGGATTAAAAATTTCAACTTCGAAAAAACACAAGAAATTATTGGAAAATAATGTAGTTATCCTTGTTACTACTGGCTAATTTGTTATTAAATGTAGTATGTTTAAGGTTTTAAGCTTACATTTAATATATACAGTAATGAATACTTTATAGAAAGTCATTTATTTGTCATTTATTTTACCTCGACGTAGTGTTACTTGTTGCCGCGTTAATATAAGTTGTCCCTTATAAATAAAAATTACATTTGAATCAAATATTTCAACAATTCTAGAACAATAATTCTTCCCTACAAGACAGTTATTTGTCATTCTTTTTCCATTAAGAAATAATTGACTCGGCACGGATTATCATTGCTGTAGAATTTTCCACATTGAATGCCATTCTTGCGCCACCTTCACACGATTCAAAGTTCAATGGCAAACACCTCCTTGACGTTTTATATTCAAAGGTGTAATGTAGTCTAGAATTGAAAATCTAGGTTTTCTTTGCGAACAAGGGAGCTATGTAATATTCTTATCT